CAGCTAATTCTATCACTTAAATCTACCTTGAATCTCTCTTTGCTTACCAGACCTGCTGGCCCACTCATCCTTTACTGGGCATTTGCAATAGCCTTCCAACTTGTTCCAGACCTTCCTTCTTGGCCCCTCTCAGTCCATTCTCCACATCCCACATTTACTTTCTGAAAGAGGAGAATTTCAAAGTAACAGGCAAGTTTCAGGAATAGTGTAAAGAAAGATCTTTATCTTTCTGAACCCAGTTTCAGACATGATGACCCATTCATTATTCCTGAATTCTCCAGGGACTTTCTGAACCCAGTTTCAGACACGATGACCCATTCATTATCCCTGAATTCTCCAGTGAGTATTTCCTCCCACGCCATCGAGACAGGGGTCACTCTCTAACACAAAGAACCAGTTTCAGTTTTCCAATTATCTTAGCAATAGCCTTTGTAACAAATTCAATACTGGATCACACATTGCATTAAGTTATCTTCTCTCTTATTCCTTCAACCTGGAACAGTTTTTCAGTCACTTTCTATCACAATCTTGACAGCTTTTGAGACTACAGGCTAGCTGCTTTTACAAGGTACCTCAGTTTGGGTTTGTCCGGTGTTTCCTCATAAAGAGGGTCACATTATGCATTTTTGGTAGAAATATCACAGAGGCGAGTTTTGTTCCCTCAGTGCATCACAGCAGATTGTATGGGTTCTGATCATCTAAGAAACAGATGCACGTTGAACTAAACACAAGAGACTTCCTGGGAGAAGAGGCCTGTGAAGATAAAGGGGAGGAAGCAGGAGTTGGCAGAGGGCCTTTTGACCAAGTCTAGGGGCTGTGAAAGGAGAGAAGGTTGGCCTCAGACTGCAATTCAGTCCTGAGAAAGCCTCAGACAGACTGATGGGGTGTCCCTAAGAAAATGTCTCCTTTCAAAGGAATCCCACATCAGGCAGGAATGGACAGGCTCAAGCATCCCCACCTCGCCCAGTGACTGGCTGGCAGAAGTGAACCTCCACATTCGTTGGCTCTCACCTAGTTCTTCCTTTCTACGAAGTGGCTGTTTCGTCTCCATGGGGTGTGTATGCCATAATTTGCGCAGCCAATCCCCTATGGCGGTGTGCACTTTGTTTCTAGTTGTTTGACGCTAAAAACAATGCTGCAATTAACATGAGATCTCAGAAATGCCAGGGATGGAATGTGAAGCAGGCAAGCCATGAATTCCTTGGAGAAGTTTGCAGGAAGCTTCTCTGGGTATGGTCTTCCTGAATTCTCTCCTCCTCACGCAGCAGGAAACATTCAGGCTGCTTAGCTGCTCTCAGCCTACTGGAGGTCATGGAGAGTGGACATAGTTTGGTGGGGCCCATATCAAACTTCCATTCAGAAAGCCCACAATTTCAAAGTGAAAGTCTCCCCAAGGTCTGCAGCTCTCTGGTCTTTCTTCCCTGCGGAGAAGGCCTTGCTCTGGTTTTCTCTGCCAAAACCCCCACCAGAAAGCAAGCCTCATCTGTGCCCAGCAGTCTATAGACCATAGCAGCCAAGTGGAGGGAAGGAAAGACAATCTCAGGTTCAATGTTCCCACAATCTGTTCCAAGTCCATCTAATAATTTAATGCACTGCTATGAAAATTACCTAGAATGTGAATCCCAAGCAAAGCTGTTCTTTTGTAAGCTTGAAGTAGAAATGTGATGACACAAAACCAGTTAATTAACTTAAAATCAGAGTAATGAACTGAAAAACCTTAATGGAAAACCTCTCAGCTCCCTGCCCTCCTTGCTGAGGTCAACTTAGTGCAGGACTGTGAGAGATCAGGAGTATGGAACAGGTCATGCTTCAAAACATTTCTACTGAAAATGTCTTTATACCTGATTGATAAAGACAGAATCCAAGAATTCCCTCCTGGCTTCTACTATATGGTAGTCATCGATTTTATGCATCCTAGGATAATACACTCACATTACAACATACCACTCTAATTGTATACCTACTGTAAGAATTTTGTAAATTTCAAATTATTCCATTTTTGTTCAATGCACATTCTACTCTTTTCTATTCAACTTCTCTGCATATTTTGTGATTGTTAAGTCTTTCACCGAGCAGATTACCCTACAGAATATTAGTCAAAGACCACAGTATCAGTAATTACTCAGTTTGGATAATCAACTATGTTGAAACATGGCAGAATGATTAAATTCACTATATACACATATGCTGTTTTAGCACTACAATGCATTTAATGCTATCTCTAAACATGTTCGGTATTGAAGTCCTAATACAGTATACTGCTTATACCTGTTTTCCCTGCAACAAGTGCTGACAGGTGGTCTCAACCAAGGAGGGCAAGCATGGCAGAAAGTACTGTACAGCCTTGGGTAATGAGCACACTCATTGCCAAACACCCTTATCTAATGAGCACTCCACTGCACCTCTCTACTTGAAAGCAGTCTGTAATGTGTGGTGTCCCTTCTTTGTGTTTTCACAAGGAATGTTGACCAATAATGGCCAAAAAAGGCATACACTGGACAGTATGAGACCTGCTACAAATCAACAAGGGCAAGTGGTACTCTAGGTGTGGAGACGAAAGTGCTATGACAGCAGGAATATGCCCTCAAGGAAACAGTCACAGAAGCAGGGTAGAGATCAACAGGAAATTATCTTCGTCTAAGTCTTCTGACATTATGAAGACATCATAAACATTACTGCAGCCTGGGACAAATTCCTAACGATTTTTTGAAGGACAAGTAGCAATTTCATGACCAATTTTGTCAGGAGAAAAATAAAACAAAATGGAAGACCAAGTGCCAATGTTAGACATCAGGGTCATTTCTCCATAGGACTTCTGCTATACACCGTCACCACCCCCACCTCAGGTCAATTACCACCGTTCCGTCTTAGAAGCATGTCCTCCCTTCTTCCTGACTTACTCCCTCCCATGGCATATGTCTCTATATCCATCAAATTATAGAAAGAAAGAAAGAGAAGGAAGAAAGAAAATAAAATATTACCTTTTATTTTCTTAGGCACACAAGTGATCTGGGATATCAATTATCAAAGATTTTACTGATTCACCTTTAGAATGATCTATTTTAAATCTTTAGCTACCATAGAAAATAGTTTGTGGCAATCACTTTGCAGTTCAGAAGTACCATGTTATAATTTAGTTGTGAAATAAATTAACAGTTTATGTTCAATATGCAAGGTTATTAGAACTCCTGAGTTTCAAATATCCTGTGGAACACATGATTCCTCTCCCTTCTTTAAAGGCTTTTAAACTTAAAGAAATGACTGTTAAAAAAAATTATATCCTAAATAGCTAATTATAACAGAAATTAGCAACATCTAATCTCAAAACCAGATAGTGTTATTTTGACCATCATTCTGATACAGTGAGTGGCCTGTCTGATTCCATCACCAAAGTCATCAACCTAGGTCAGTACCACTATTCCTGAGGACCTCATAAGCTTTTCTTTTTCTCTGCAAATGCCACTTGATTTTGAATAAGTAGCACGATTTACCATGCATAAGGATTTACCTGTATCACCCCAGCACATACCTAGCTATCTTCTCAAGCACTGTAAAGCTAGTCCCACAAATACTGACATAAGTAAGCCATGGCACCTTCCCCAAGAACAGTACAAATCAGCATTGCACATTAACACACAGAGAAATGCCGGGAAATGCTTGTAGCTTCACCACATAGCTCAGTTACAGCAAGGACAAGTAAGAGTGACTCCTGAACTTAGCCTCTCAAGGAAGGAAATGTTTTATAGTTCTATATTTGACCCTATCAAAGGAAAGTCACCTTAGAGAGGTTTGCAGTTGGCTACAAAGCGCATAAACCAAGTCTATGTGGAACAAACCCATACAGTCATTATTGAACACAAATTGAAAACACACATTCTAAAGACAAGAGATTTGGTTCTATTATTTTCATAAACCAAAGAGTACAGATTTCAACTTATTTCACAAATCGGATGATCAAATGAAAATGGACACGAAAGCACTTAGTAAATTATTATATACATGTTTTTAAACAGAGGTACTCTTTTAAAGTAATTTTACATCACAAAATTTGGCAGAGTACACAAAATCATTAACAATAAAACAGAAAGTATGGAAAACTAGGGGAAAGGCCCAAGGAATTAAAAATCAAGCCATATTTTCATCGGATTTAGAAATTATGTAGATTATATACTTTTTAAAAAATGTGCATGAAGCAACTTTATACTGCAGTTTGAGAAATCAAAAATGTTTTATTTTACAAACACACACACTACATGACTAGAGGCATTATCTGGGCCACATAAAAAGATCCTGGAGAATTTGTTGCTGCCATAAAGCTGGGGCGCAGGGTTAAAGGTGGAGTGAGTAAGGCATGGCGATGCTTCGTACAACTTCTAGAGAGTACGTCTGAACCCCAGGAACCAAGCTCAGCTAGCAAACAGAATGAATGTAATGGATTGTTATTTACTTGGAGGCCAGAAATAATGAAGAACAGGAAAACTGCAGCTTTAGATAAGTATTTTAGAAATAGTAAATCCATACTGTTTTAAGTAAAAATGGATGATTTTTTTATATAAAATTATGACTGGCAGAATACAGAAAATGTATTTCTCTTTACATATTTAAGTAGGAAGCAAAATGTAACAACTGGAAGAACTCATTACAAACTACCCAAAGGTATCCATTTGGTGAAATTATTCAAGTTACAAAATACTAAGTAAATAAACGCACTTCAAAACACATGAAGTGTATGTAACACAAGTATGAAAGTAGTGATCTTAAATGATTCCTTTAACAAAAACTAACCAACACACAAGAAGCACAAGAAAAATGTTGTCAAGTTAGACAGAAAAGAATAAATCAAGCATACTGTTCACTGGGATTATTAAACTAAAATTATTTTTAAAAATAAAAACACCTAAGCAAGTAATCAGAATTTTAAAAAAGAATAAGAATATTCGAGTACTATATTTATATATATATATATTTATATATATATTAATATATATATATATTAATATATATATATATATAAAACCAATGAAAGAAAGACTGGAGGCCAATTAAGTACTATAGACCTAGGTGCCTCTAAGATCATTTGCACTGAGGTCTTCTTGGTATGAACATATAAATGATATCCAAAAGTGGGAAAATTTATGCATTATAAAGGAAAGGAAAACAATTAAAACTGCAATAGGGCAAAAAACTTAGGCATTAAAATGACTAAATGCAATGTGTTTTCTAGCATAAGACTAGAAATAACCTGCTCCCAAAGAACTCTTTTGCACTTTAGTAAATAAGGGCAAAGGTTTTGCTCTGATGAAAAGGCAAATGGGAGGTCTCTGATAAGGTAGACTCTTCATAGCCAAAAAAGACACCAACCAGAAAATGTGCATTCATGTCTATAATCAGGGTAGTAAAAAAAATAATCATTAAGTTCACAATTAAACCATTTTTAAAACATAAGATGATAAGTGACTATTACATATGTCATATGGATCATATGCCAAATTACTGTATGCTATACTCCTAAGTGCTATTAATAAATACACTCAATTCATGCTACAAGAGAAAGAATTGAGACTTAATTTCACATTTCAGAATTCCTGAGTCTTGTCAGAGGAAAACAAGTACCAAAAAACAAACAAAATAAACCTACTTTATAGTAGGGCAAATAATACAAATTTGGGTATTAAGTCAATATTCTATTTATAGTTTTAAAGCTGAAGACTACGGGGACAAATATATATGTAATTCAGTGGGATTATAAACATGATTTTAAAGCTTGGTTTTTTAAAAAGGCGATTTGATCAAACAAGGCCACCTGAGTGACATCTTTAATGATGGAAAGCCCATCATTTTAAAAGAGTAGATCTTTATCTCAAAGCCTAATGATGAGTATAAAAAGAAAAAGAAATCTATTTTACTAAAATTTTTCAGTAAGACTGCAATGGGACAGCCCTTTGATGAAAGATCTAACAAGCGTAAAGCCAATGTAATGGAATTAGAACACGAGTTCTAATTTGAGCCACCATCCATTAAATAATTTCCCTTTTGCCTTGCATATTACACAGTGAAAATAAAAAGGTATCTTAAGAGCACTTCAGTCCCACAATGTAGGATTTAAGCTTGTGTGAATAGGTGTAAATGGCCCTGCAATGATGCTTGCAAAAATACATTCAACCAAAAGTTAATGTCTGTTTTCTAACTAGTAAAGAAAAGGGAAACAAAATGGTCCCTCTTAAAATAACAAAACAAAATAGAACAAAACACCATCTTTTCTGGAAAGGACAAAGAACATCTAAAGAATATACATTTAAAATTACATACTTCTACTCATCATTGTAAGTAGGGAAGATGCATACAACTACTCAGGGACTTTATAAATAAAGACGCTAAGCAGAAAAATATTTGGGTTATTTCTTTGTTCATAAGTACCCAGAAAGAAAACAATTAAAAGACACTAAAGTGCAGACCTATAGGCCATTGCGGGCATAATAAACAATAAAGAGGTGCAGCCCAAATTTGCATCTACATTTACACTTACATATCCAGAAAATGATTCTTCCTTTAAAAAATTGTGCAATTTAAAAACTAGTCAGTTTTGTTTGTGCCGTAATACAATTAGAACTTGTCTCTGCCCGCTGGTAAGGTGACCACTAGGCCTTGGACAGCATACTAGCTCTTGACAATCATACGTTTTGTTAGAGTCATACAATATTGATTCCACCTCCAGAAAATGTTAGGGTCCTCTTGTAGAATGAAGAGCCACTGGTATTTGGTTGATTGCCTTTAACCAGAGAGGTTTTCAGTTCCATTTCACAAGCTACAATAGCTGCATTCAATTCCACTTGAGCTCGATGAACTACATAAAACATGAGGCCTATACTTATAATAATCTGTGGATAAAAATAAAACATTACAGTTAATAATATTTTATACAGAAAAAAAGGAGAAATAAATCCAATAAATATTTTGCTTAGAAATGTTTCAAGCAGGATACTTCTTAAATATGGTCAGGTAAGATTTTTAAATGGGTTATACACAGTCCATTCATTCTTTCCTTGGCTGCTTCTACTGGGAGTGGAGGGCTGAAATCTAGAAGTAACCATCATAGGATATCAGGTTAGCACAAGGCAAGCATACATCCTTTGTAGTCTATATAAATGAGGTTTGCTTGATACAAGTCAAACTTGTCTCTTTGTACCAAGCAGCTTCCTTCAAGGAATTAAAAAAAAAAAAAAAGTCTAAAAATAGAGGCAACATCTGGCTAAACTTTATTAATGTAATTAACATAATATCATATCTTTGCAGGACTATAAATGTCCATAGGTATTCCTAAGCCCACTTAGAGAGAAGCACTACCATTTGCAAATGAACTATCTAGTGCTGCCAAAATTTAAAATATTATGAACCACTTTAAAAAAGTGAAACACCAATAAACTTCAAAAGAAATTAACAAGAGATCATGAACATGAAATTGTACTTAGGGAAAAACAAAAACAAGGTAAAACATGATAATCAAGAAAAAAAATGCCTGTCAAAGAGATATGAGAAAAAGCATCGAAATCAAAATCAGGCGCAGTCTTGACCTAACTACTCAACTAGTGATGTGACTTCACATCACTATGTGGGCTTCTCCCACTGTCTAATAGGAACTTGGGGTCCCTCTTTATATGTTAATGTGCTTTAGCATTTTACGTACAGTTCATCAGAATGTCTAGGCAGTACGTATCTTCTAAATGGTGTTTATTCCTAATTTCATTTGTAAATCAGTTCTTTAGAGTTTGGAGCAAATATTCTCAGGCAACAAGGTGAGGACAGGTGATGTTTAATGTCCCAGTAAGTTTCAAAGAAGTTCAAAGGCCACTCCAACCATAGTGGCACTAAAATATAATATAAAATAAATGCCTATCCATAATTTAACAGTTTTGCGGGAACAGTATTCTAAATAGAAGCAGTGAGGGAAGTGTAGAGGGAGTGCATAGTGGGGGTGGTAACTTAGAATTTGTGCAAGGGGGGGCACTAGTAAATGGGTATCCAATACTCAATACAATTCTTATTTTTTTACGTTTATTTATTTATTTTGAGAGAGAGACAGCAAGAGCAGGGGAGGGAAGAGAGAGGGAGGGAGTGAGAGAAAATTGAAAGCAGGATCCACACTGTGAGCATGGAGCCCAATGTGGGCTTGAGTTAGTGAACCGCAAGATCATGACTTGAGCCCAAGTCAGATGCTTAACCAACTGAGCCGCCCAGGTCCCCATTAATTCTGAGAAAATTAGGTATTTTAAAAGTGGGCCTTCAAATGTGCTTACTCTCCTAAAAAAAAATAAGATATACTAACTGATATGTAAGTTTGATACTTATCAGTGTTATGGTGACACCATGTAAAGACATGGAAAACTAAGTTGGGGATGGTCTGGATGAGATGCTGAGCTCTGCCTCAGACATGGTGGACTTGAGGTACCTATTGGATATCCAAGACAGTGAAGTGAATGGGTCCAAAGCTTAGAAAGAAGACTGACTTGAAGATGTGTATTTGGGAGTCCTTATTCAAATAAACATAACAGCAGCCACCATAATAACTGGATTTCCAGGAAGGAAAGTTTTCAGAGTAAGAACACAAAGCCTAGGCTAGAATCTTGAGGAATACAAACTGTGGGGTAAAAAGAAGGGATGGTGATAAATGAACCAGGGAAGTAGGGGGAAAAAAAATCAAAACCGTTAAGGGAAAAAATGGTTTTAAAAAGAATTTTAAGTTGCTAAGAGTTCAAGCCGGGTGACAACTGGAAAGTACATCTGATTTTGACAAAGCTAATGATGCAGCCACAGAAAGGAGGCTTAGATCTAGTGAAAAACTTTTTCACGTTCCCAGTGAGGGTAAAATCTTTACATGGGATTTTCCCCAGATGCCCTTGTAGACCCAGGGCCTGGCAATTTGTGCTGATTCTTTCCCCGAACACACACTCCCTTACTGAAGTGTAAAAAAAAAAAACAAACAACAAAACAAAAACCTGTTTTACAAAGCTTCCCGATGAACACAAAAGAATCAAACACAAACAAAGGGACCAGCCTTCTACCAAAAGGCATCTCCTCCACTGTCAACTAGAGAGCAGGCTGAGGGCATGAGGGGAACACCAGAGAGTTAGCAGATTTCTTAGGTGGAAATTGATGGGTTTCCCACTTGAAGGCTCCTGATTTTTCTGTTAATCAAGAAAGGCAATCTGTTGAGAATGAAGTGGAAAATGGGGACAGGAGTCAAAATTGTGAGGAGCTAAGATAGGTTTGTAATGGTCATTGAGCAAACGGGTGGTGGGAAGACAAGGAAACAGGCTACGGGGAAATGTTGAGAAACCAGCATAAGTTTTGCAACTATGAATTAAATATTACCAATCTGGTTGTATGATTTTCCCAGAACAACAGGTGCAAAACATATCAAAACTTGGATTTATCCAGGATTTTGGCTGGTGGGCACACAGAAAAATACAGGGCATGGAAATGAATAACTGAATTGCAAGACCACGGAATCTTAAGTTGGATTTCTGTACAAGAAATAGTTGTTCCTTCCTCTGAACATCTATTTTGATTTCCTTTAATTTTACAGACACTGTGGATTCTATTTAGGTGGCTATAAAGCTCAGAGGCAAATGTGTGGCTTATTTCTAGCAAATATGAGAAGCCTCATGAACACACTTATTCTACTAATTTTAACCTAAGCTTCATCCTTTGTTCCTATGTTAGTTTCCCCCTTCAAGATGACTTCTTTTCCTCTCTTGTTTTATTCTGTGTATCTTTTGTAAGCTGAATTAAATCCTTTTTGAAATATACTAAACTATAAGGAACATCAACAAATCTGAGGCATAAAAATGCCTTTTTTTGGTGGTAGTTATTGTTGTTTTTATAAACATCTGGACTGAAAAATAGGTGCCTTCCCCCCCCCCTTATATCCTAAGCTTAAATTTGTCAGCTCAAAGGGGTAATAAGAAATCACTGGAAAAAAAACCAAGACCCTATATTTTTAGAAGCACTACTGACAAATCCATGAACTATTTTGTTCTATTATAACTCAACTAATTACAGTTAAGTGATTTACTAAGATGTATAGAAACAAAGTATCAAATAATGAAAATCTTATGAAAATTACTGATAATGACCCATTCTAATTACTCAAGTATAATGTAATGGGAAAATAGGTATTTCAAATGGATTAATCATTTTCAAAAAACTAAAAGAACATAAATATGTGCTTAAATATATGCTAAAAAATCTATCATTCAGGAGCATCTGGGTTGCTCACTTAGTTAAGCTTCAACTCGATTTCAGCTCAAGTCATGATCTCATAGTTCGTGGGTTTGAGCCCTGCGTTGGGTTCTGTGCTGACAGCGCTGAGCCTGTTTGGGATTCTCCCTCTCTGTCTCTCTGCCTCTCCCCTGTTTGCAGGTGCTCTCTCTCTCTTTCTCAAAATAAATAAATAAACTTAAAAAAAATCTATCATTCATGGGGTGCCTGGGTGGCTCAGTTGGTTAAGAGTATCACTTCAACTCAGATCATGACCTTACAGTTTATGAGTTCGAGCACTGTGTCAGGCTCTGTGCTGAGAGCTCAGAGCCTGGAGCCTGCTTCCAAGTTTGTCTTTCTCTCTCTCTACCTCTCTCCCACTCACACTCTGTTTCTCTCTTTCTCAAAATAAACATTAAGATAAACTTTTTAAAAAAATCTATCATTCAGGTTCTTTAAAATACATACACATACACACACATATATATTATGTGTGTGTGTGTGTATATACATATATATACATATATATGTATAACTTTGTATAAAAAAACATAAAAACAAAATAGATTCCCAAATAGTAAAAATATTCTAAAATTTTTTTTTTTTATATTTTTTATTTATTTCTAGGAGAGAGAGAGACAGCGTGAGCAGGGGAGGGTCAGAGAGAGAGGGAGTCACAGACTGAAACAGTCTCCAGGCTCTGAGCTGGCAGTCAGCACAGAGCCCGTCGCGGGGCCCGAGCCCACGAACCGCGAGATCATGACCTAAGCGAAAGTCGGACGCTTAACCGACTAAGCCACCCAGGCGCCCCTCTAAAATTTTTCTTAAAGGAAGCCATTCAATTGATAAGCTTTATTTATAGTTCAATGTAAACATTCCTGGGCTTATGGGTTTACTAAACTTGTACTACATAAGCACAGAGAAAATCAACTCTGATAAATAAATATCACACCAGTAAACTATCGTCCTGGCTATGAGCATGGTTCCTAGAACCAACTGCCTTGGTTTGTGTCTTGGTCCCATTCCTTGCAGTTGAGACTTTAAATTTTTTAATGTTTTTTTTTTTATTTCTGAGATTGCGAGAGAGAGAGAGAGAGAGTGCGAGAGCGAGCAGGAGAGGGTCAGAGAGAGAGGGAAACATAGAATCTGAAACAGGCCCCAGGCTCTGAGCTGGCTGTCAGCACAGAGCCCGATGTGGGGCTCGAACCCACGAACCATGAGATCATGACCTGAGTCAAAGTCGGACGCTTAACCGACTGAGCCATCCAGGTGCCCCTTTCTATTTTTTTAAATTTTTTTTTTATGTTTTTGCAGCTGAGACTTTAGACCAATTACTATTCACTGGTGTGCTGATAAACTAGCTCTTGGAGATCACAGGTAGATCACTGGATTTGGAGCACCTGCCGTTTTCCATAGTATAAATACTCCTGCCACTGCTGACGTCACTGAAGAGTTGGAAGAGAGGTACACAATTAGTTGGACATATGAAAAGGACAAACCTCCTAGCGTTCTGGTAGGGATTACATGAACATACATATATGGCATATAAAGCTCTGAAAAGTTATTATCATCATCTTACTAAATCATCAACAATTATGGTGATTTTATACTTTGGTAAATCTCAGGATGCAAATTATAGCACAACTAAAGAAATGAATTTTGAACTCTTCCTGTTGCAACTTAAAGGCGCTGAATAAATGTGCCTACATAACAGGATTTTTTCTTTTATCAACTTTTTATATGGAATTGTATGTACCCTAAACTATATTATAATTTGTATGGCAATAATCCATTATGCAAATCTTATTTGAATTTGTAATGGAAAACTTCAGACACTTTTATAAAGCTATCTTTTCTAAAAAAATATTTTGTTCTACATCAAATTGTACTGGGAAAAAAATTACACTGCCAGTATAATACTTTTTTTTATCTATCTACCTATCTACCTACCTATCTATCTATTTATGTTTTTTAAATATTTATTTTTGAGAGAGAGAGAGAGAGAGAGAAAGAGAGAGAACAGGGGAGGGGAAGAGGGAGGGAGACACAGAATCCAAAGCAGGCTTCAGGCTCTGAGCTGTCATTACAGAGCCCTACGTGGGGCTCACACTCACAAACCACAACATCATGACCCAAGCTGAAGTCGGATGCTTAACTGATGGAGCCACCCAGGTGCCCCAGTATAATACTTTAAAAAAATACCAAATTGGAGAGTTCAATAATTTGAAAATAAAGATTAAAATCTCAACCCTACCAAATCTCACTAAAATTATCTTCAGAAACATAGTATTACCAACACTTCACAAAAACTCAAAATAGAGCGATGACTTTGAAAATTGCTGCAAAAAGAACCCTATTTTTGTCATTCCCTTTTTTGTTTTGTTCAAGAGAATTTTTAATAAGCATCAGTTGAGTTCTATACACTTCCATATGTCCACACAGTTAAAATGTAAATGTTGTAAAACTATGAAGTATAACTGAAAAAATAAGAAAAGAGATTAAAAGGAAAAACTCTCTTAAATTATTCTCAATGAAATCCAGTAGGTTTAAATAAGCAAAGCCATATAAAAAGAAAAAAAGAGCGTGAGAGAGAACCCTTAACCTTAAACTCACCTGTAAACAAAAAACAAAATATCCACTAACACTCTGTTCTGCAATGACATCTTCCATTGTCCGCAGGGTGGTACCCAAGTAAGAATTCAGAAGCTGGGTAGGAAGCAGTCCAACCGAAGATGCCATCAGATAGTTGGGTAAGGAGAGATCAGTAATCTAGAAGAGCAGATTAAAGGGAATGATTCATTATCAAGTAAAATTTCAATTTTACATAAAACTGTGTGTACAAGTCTTGCTAATGGTTTTTCCTTGGGAGGAGAAGGAGATGAAATATTTTACAAAGCATTTTGATTTTTTTAAATGGTTATAAGGGGAATACATGCAGGATGTAGATGTAGAATGATATGAGTTTAAAGAAAAATTTTAATATTCTATGATTCTACCATTAAAAGATAATATCTGTGACAATCTTTCTCTTCGATGTAAATAAATGTGCACATACACGGATCACTTTGTAAAAACAGTTCTGTAAGTCTTGCTCATGTCATTAGTAATCTTCGTAAGCAAGCTTCAATGACAGTGTGGTTACTGCCCTCTGAAGCCAGACAACCCTCTAACGGCATGCCAGTGCTGAACTTCAATGAACTCTTTTGACTCTGAGCAGCAGTATTTTCATCTGTGACATGAGGGTAATAACATGGTTGTTGTCAGGATCAGAAATATTTGTACAGTCGGTAGCAAATGCCTAGCACATGACTGATGCTCAGAAAAGGTAGACATCATTACTAAGCAATTACACTACCAATGTGTGGATGTGGTACAATTTAAGCATTCTGCTATGGAATATTTACATTGCTTCTTTGTTTTCTTTGTATATATGTGATTATGTATGTGCATTTTTGCTATTATAAATTTAAAAAAAAGTCCAATGAAATGTATATTAACCTGTGTGGGAGTGTCTAAAATATTCCCATCAACTTTTCCTCTGTTTTCATGCTCTTGTGTGATCTTTTCCCCTAGAATGTGGATTGGACCTGATGCTTACTCCTGGCAAACAGACTATGGCAGAAATGAGGAGATGTAACTCTCAAGATTAGGTTACAAAAAAACAGAACTCCGGCTGTCCCTCTAGCAGGTGAGCCATGCTGGAAGCAGCTCTGTGGAGAGTGCCATGTGGCAAGGAAATAAGTCTTCAGCCCACAGCTAGCTAAGACCTGAGACCTACCAAGAGCCACCTGAGTGAGCCTGGAAGCAGATTCTCCCCCAGCCAAGCAGTATGATAACAACAGTCCTGGCCGCCACTTTGATTGCAGGCTTGTGAAAGAAACCTGAGTCAGAGGCACCCAGCTCTGCTGCATAGGAATTCCCAACCTACAGAAACCATGAGATAATAAAAGCTTATTTTTAAGTCACCCACTTCTGGAGAGGTACATAGGAAGAAATGACTAATACAATATGTATCTCCACTATTTAGGATAGATCACTAGGAGTAGAATTATTGGTCCCAGGGGCGCATGGGTGGCTTAGTGGGTTAAACGTCCGAATTTCGCTTAGGTCATGATCTCGCGGTTCATGGGTTCGAGCCCCGCGTAGGGCTCTGTGCTGACTGCCAGCTCAGAGCCTGGAGCCTATTTCAGAGTCTGTATCTCCCTCTCTCTCTGACCCTCCCCTGCTCACGCTCTCTCTCGCTTTCTCCTAGAAATTAAAAAAAAAAAAAAAAAAAAAAGAATTATTGGTCCCAGCAATGAAACCTGTTTTCCAAAAAAGTTCAGGCTGATTTATATATCTATCAATAAGTAATGCATGAGTATGTCTATTTGATCATACTCTTACCAACTTAAAGTATTAAATTTCAATCTTTCCTAGTTTGATAGGGTAAAAATGATATTTTATGACCGTTTAACCTACACATTTTAATTTATATTAATACTAGTTTTAAATATACATTTTTCTGTTTGCATTTCTTTATGGCTTTCCTTTTTCATTTTTGTCCATTTTTATTGGAATGTTAATTTTTTTCTTATTTATTCTTATATAAGAATATATATGTTCTCTATATATTCTATTATAAGAGCTCTTTATATATAAGGGCAACCTTTGTCTATTATATTTGGCAAACATTTTCCTCTAAAGTGCTCCTTATCTTTTAACTTTATGTTTTGACATACAAATGTTTCATAATTTTTACATAATCATATATTACCTTTTTTCCTCTGACTTACCCTTTTATTTAGCTTTAGAATGTCTTTTTAGATTTATTTTTTTTACTTATATTTCTCTTCTGATTCTATTTACCTTTTTAAAAATTTTTTTTAATGTTTTATTTTTTTTTGACAGAGTGAGTGAGTGTGAGCAGGGGAGGGTCAGAGAGAGAGGGAGTCACAGAATGCGAAGCAGGCTCCAGGCTGTGAGCTAGCTGTCAGCACTCAGCCTGATGCAGGGCTCAAACCCACAAACCGTGAGATCATGACCTGAGCCGAAGTCGGACGCTTAACTGACTGAGCTGCCCAGGCGCCCCTCTATTTTCCTTTTTAACATTTACCATTTATCCCTTCTGGAATTTAATTAAAGGTGAAATGCAGCCTTATTCATTCCGCAGTAGCCAGTTTTCCTAGCACTACTTATTGAGTAATTAATAACTTCTCCTATGATTTGTGATGTTTACTTTATTATAAATGAAGTAGGTATATATAAAAGGATCTATTGGGGGCTCTAACATTTTAAATCTTGTATTGAAACCAGATTGTTGTAAAGACTATAAGTTAATATCTGGATACAGTTTCCTATCCTGCAAACTCCTTCATTACTCTTCTTTTTAGAACTGCTATAACTATTCATACCTATTCACTTTTACAGATAAATTTTAGGATCATTCTATCATTCAAAAAGAAAAAAAATCAGCAAATTTTATATTGGGATTAAGGTAATTTCTAAATTAATCTGAATAGAACTGAAATCCCTGTGATATTCAATATTTTTATCCAGAAATGTTCCTATAATTATTCAAAACGTTTACATCTCTTACTAAAGTTTGATGGCTTTATTCACATATATTATATATTTCTTATTCATTTATCTCTAGGCATTTGTGTTGTGGTTGGTACTGCTATCAATTTTGAGAGTAACTTTTCTATAGCCCCATCTAGGTTTACTTGTATGTAAGAAAGATTTTGGCCATTTTACTAAACTTTTATTTGCTAATGTTAAGATCTGGTATTTTATTTTATTTATTCTTTTTTTTTTTTAATGTTTATTTATTTTTGAAAGAGAGACAGAGCATGAGCAGGGGAGGGGCAGAGAGAGAGGGAGACACAGAATCCAAAGCAGGCTCCAGGCTCTGAGCTGTCAGCACAGAGCCTGACGCGGGGCTTGAATCCACGAACTGTGAGATCACAACCTGAGCCAAAGTCAGACGCTTAACTGACTGAGCCACCCAGGTGCTCCTAGATCTAATACTTTAAAAGAGTAACCTACCGCTAGTCTAACTACAATCTAATGTTATCTAATAATCAGGTAAGTCCTATTTTTAGTAAAGCTACATTCATCTCTACCCATAGACGATTAACTGGAGATGGGCCACTGCTGGTTTGGAAAGAACACTACAGTGACTGGTTAACAATTCAACTAAACAATCACGGACTCCATGTTGCCCAGGCCAAGATGTTCTGGTAGGTACCTGCAGGGGACAGAAAGAAGGATCTAGCTCTTACCTCAAAGGATTTACATACCGACAAGGACACATCAACTACCTCAGGAAGGGAGCCTTGAGAAAAACTATGTGTAGAGCATTAAAGAGTAAACAGGGATTAACATGAGCTGCAGGAATACAGGCCAAAGGGCAACCATGTGAAAAAAGAAGCATTCAGAATGGACTCTGAAAGCTAAATACGCGTTTGACAAGCAGAGGCCGGTGGGAGGAGGAAGCTAAGCCACTCTAAGAAGAGAACGAACAAGGACAATGTGGCACAGAAAGTACAGGATGTATCAGTGAAGTTGGCAGTGAGGCTCTGACTGTTTACAGAGCACTCGCAAGGGAATACTGTACAGGACAAATACTTGGGGTAATACTTATTAGGGGCCTGGGGGAAAGGAGAAATGACTTTCTACCCAGAAGAAAAGCACTGGGGATTCTAGTCAAGGAATCATGTGAATGGGGTGAAGAAAGGTTCCTCTGTCAGTTTGGAGTACTTATAGGAACAGAGACCTTTCTTTGGAATAAACATGTCAAATATATAAAATGAGTAAATATGATAAAAAATGAATCATAAACATTATGATATTGCAGTTAATATGACATTACATGTTTTGGAAGCTATCTTTTTTTCTTTTGTTTATTTATTTATTTAGAGAGACAGAAAGGCAGAGAGAGGGAGAGAAAGAATCCCAAGCAGGCTCTGTACCATCAGTGCAATCTGATGTGGGGCTTGAACTCACAGAACCATGAGACCATGACCTGAGCTGAAAACAAGAGTCGGACACTTAACTGACTGAGTCACCCAGGTACCCCGGAATTTGTCTTTAAAATAAACATTTCAATTCCCAAAATGTCAGAATGCAAAGCTTCAGTCCATAGTCTTTAAATATAATGAAATTTCTCTAAGACGTAAAATTGACATTCAGATAGGACATCAGTACTATCCAAATGGCGATGTTAAGAACAGATCTCATAAATGTGAAACAGCTCTGCAACTCAACTCTTTAACCAGCCCTTTGTCCAAAGCAGATATCAAAGTTCACCAAAATCCTTTTCGACAAAACCTCATCCTGGGGAAAAAGCAAGTGCTATTGTTCATATATATATATATATATACACACACATATAGACACACACACATATACACATATGAATATATATATGCCCTTTCTGAAAAGCGGTATATCCAAAGAAAGCAAAAAACTAATTTTGGCTCATCATTATAAACCATGTTGCTGGACTTCAAATAAGTTAACCAGAACAGAGACAGAATCACATACACACACAGGTTTTCAACTATTACTAACATACTAAGCTAAACAGGTTCCAGATTACTGTAATACAGCATTTCCTGTATGCTAAGGCCTTACTCAGAATCTGCATCTAGCTTCATTCTTTGAAAACCATAATAAACTGAGAATACTTGTTCCCAAAGAGACCTACCCAAACTTCTCTCGCCAGTAAGTTCTTATCCACCAACTTCTTAAAAATTTGTCTGCTTGCCTACTTGCCAGAAAGATAT